TTTGCTAAAGAATGAAAATCAGTCTCTCCAGTTGCCTAAGAAAATCACCATTCAAAGGGCTCTGCCTTCTCATGTGCACCCAGCTCAGAAAAGTGCTGGGCCAGTCTCCCCAAGGTAATCGAAACATCAAAGGTGAGGTGTGGATGCCCCTTGGAGTATTTCACTGATATTCACCTTTGATGGAAGAAGCAACACACAGGACACTGAGCCGCTGGCCCAGCACATCCACCCCACTCACACTGAGCTGGGCTTGGCCCTGGCCAATCTGCACTGTCCCCAGGAGTCCAGTGTTTGGGATCCCAGAGCTTGTCCCTCTTCATTCAGGGACCCCAACTGTTTCTGGTGCTCCTCTTCCTACCTGTAGTGCCACTCACTCCGCAACCTGACCACTGGTGCCACCGGGTCTCGGTGTCCATGGGTCTAGGTTCATGAACTTCAAGAAAAAATTGGATCTCCTCTGGACATAACACCATTTTCCTATCACTGTTCCCTAGTGAGTGTCACACTACAGCGGCTATGTGTGTCACACTTACACAGTACCAGGTGTTCTAAGTCATCTAGGGCTGATTAAAGGACCTCGGAGGGTGACATGGAGTCCATGAGAACACTACATTTCACATAAGAGACTTGAGCCACTGCAGATTTGGGGATCTGCAGATGTCCTGGAACCAATTCCCAGCACACCTGAAAAAATCATACTCACTTTCCAAACACTTCTAGAGCCAAAGTCCTCGGCAAACTCCCAAGGCCCCAAACTACCCCCACAGACACTCCAGGACTCAGCGTGTACAAGACAAGGACTCCACATCCCTCACAACAATGCCAAGAGCCCAAGACCAGGACCCCAGTCCCCCTCCCCTAGGGCCAGGTCTGCCTCTGAATGGAATACCCTCTGCTAGTCAGCCCTGAGCTGCTCTTTGGGGTGCTCCACCTGCTCACTGGGAGGACAGGGCATGTCTTGGGGAGTCGGGAACCCCATGCTGGCCCCTACTCTGGCCAGGACTGTATTGCTGACTCAACCTCAGTCCCAGGGAGCAGCACCTGGGTGGTGTCAGGCTGGGCCAGATTCAGTGGCCCTCCTAGGATCCTCAGTGGCCTGGGATCCCATCAGGCCTACTGGCCTGGGCAAGGATAAGGGCCTAGCTCAGTCTGGGAGTTGGCATGACTGGGTGCTTTTCTTCTGGGGCATTGCCAGCTGCTGCATAACCAAGCTGAGAGGAGGGTTGGGGTGTCTGGTGAAAGGGGGCTCCACTCACATTGGTCCTGCTCTCTGGTGGCCTCTAAAGCACTCAGAGCCGTCCTCACCAGCAGAGGAAAAACTGAGTACATGTCACTCAAGTGCATGCCCAGAGGGCCACTGATTCTGTAGTCTGGCAAAAGGCACATCTGGTGCTGACAGAAGCACTTGGACCCCCAGGACACCTTTCTGGCTCACATAGGCATGTGCAGTGGCTTCTCCATGCCTCAGCTTCTCATTTGTGAAAGGGATGCAAATCCACAGGATCCAGTCCCCTCACTGGCTAGCAGCCCCTAGAAGCGGAGCCGGCTGAGCCAGCAGCTGTGCCCGACATCTTGGGTTCAGGAAGATGGGGGAGGCTAGAGTGGATCAGAGCCCCAGGGACTGCACTGGACCCTGGAAAATCAGGCTCATTTCTCTGTGCCTGGCTAGGGCTCTTCACCTGATACCCACAGCTAAGGGAAGCCTGGGTGAGAGAGAGGACACAGACCATAAGGGCCAGTGGCCATGCTACACAGAGCCCGTGACACACCAAGTGTCACATCCTACACATCGCTGCACACTGAGCCCCAGGGCTCAGAAGCCAACCTGTGGATGTGCACCCCTCAGCCAGCGTGCTGGGCAGGTGTCTCCAAATACCTGCAGGGCTGCCAGCAACCAGCCCAGGGACCTCAGCTCACAGCGTCTACTTGCAGAACAGACACCAGTGTGGGCCAAGGAACTTTTAGATGCAGAGAAGGCTTGAGCCACATCGTCACTGTTACAGCCCTCCTGTCCCAACTTGCCAGTGATCTGATGCCAGAAGGTAGGCCCCTCCTTGCAAAATGCCAACTGTGTCACCAAAGAATCGATCAGAACTAAGACCTGATAATGCCTGGCAGAGAGCAGAAGAGGCTTCAATCACTGCTCATCTTGCTGTAGATGCCAGCGCCAACTGCTCAGAGAGTCTGGGGACAGGACCTCAGAGGGGAGGGAGCAGGAGGAGCCTAAGAGTGGAGTTTTCTGGGGACAAAGAGACGGAAGGAAAGTCCTCCCAGCCCAGTGGGGTCACGCGATTGAAAGCCACCCACCTGCACCACACACACGTACCAGGTTGGCCAAAGACTTGGGATGTGACTGTGATGAGGTGAATGCTTGTGACCTTCTCCCCACAAATGGGGCTTTGGGAGGGACAAGGTCCAGAAGATGCAGCCTTTGTGATTATATTCAGCCCGGTAAGCAAGTGAGCTTTCTTCTGCACAGTAAGACACCAGGCCCAGCTTCAGAGCCCAAAAGGGTTTCTGTTGTTTATAATCCAGCAGGCTGTGATACTTTGTTATGGCTGCCCCAAAGAATGAAGATAGGAATGCTCCAACAAAAATATCCAAATTTCTAGCAGCTTCTAACCATTCAGAAATTCTGGCAGTGCTGTGTCCATATTCCCACTTGGCCAACAGCTGGCCCCAAATGGCAAATCTCCCCAGTGTCATCCTGCATGGCTTTTTCTGACAGTAGAGAAGTAGACGTTTAGTCCATGGCTCCCTCTAAGATGGGAAGACGGGAAATAGGTTGGGTGGCATGTGTGTCCAGGAAAGTGAGCACAAGCATATTTGCACCTGGGGAGGCAGACGTGTCTGCGCATGTCGCTCTACTTGGAGCTTGCCCAGCCCTGGGGACATCTCAGACTTTGTCACCTCCAACTAGTCAGAGGGGGGTTCTTGTGAGGACTTGACGCAGAGCACCCAAGCACAAAGATGCTCAGGTTTGTGAGTGCACTGTGTTTCCCTCCCCAATCTCTGCAGGCCCCTGTGCTCCCCCAGTCCCAAGCAAATGCTGTGTCAAAGGAAGTTCTTTCTAGCAAGCCGTGCCCAGGGCAGACTCCAGCCTAGCTCTACAGCCTTAGAGAAAATGCAAAAGAGAGGACAGAGAGAAAGTGACTGATTCACGTCCCAGCTGGCCTGATCCAACAGCAGCTCCTCCACTGCCCCTGGGCCCAGGCTCAGCCCCAACTCTGTCTCTCATGGCCTCTCCCACCTACCTGCCCTGATGTCTAGGCCTCAAGTCCCCTCCAGCCACATCAAGGTTTTACTCAGTTTAGCAGATGCCGCAAAGTGAGAAGACAAGGGAATAGCATCCTACTCACAGCCGAGCTTGGGGCAATTGAGACAGATTTATTAAAGACACAGTAACTCTCAGTCGTGTTGGTCCTCACTGAGGCAGACAGAGTTGATAGATAGTCGGATGTGGGATTTGCACCTTTGCCAACACTAACTCCTTGGATGATGCCCAAATTCCACTGGTAATCTCCTCTGAGGACCCACTGCCCTCTCCACCTCAGCACAAGCCACACCTCCCCTATCTAAAATGCTTATGTTTAGGATTTTTTTTCAGATTTCGGAATACTTGCATATACATATGCTACATATGCATATACGTATACATATACGTATACTCGGAATGGGTCCCAAGTCTAAATATGAGATTCACTTAAGTTTCCTATACCCTCCACACATAGCCTGAAAGCAACTCTACATGATAGTTAGTACACCTGCCCTGTGACAGCACCTATCACACAAGGTCAGGTGCAGAATTCTTTTGTGGCATCGCATCAGCATTCACAAAAGTTCAAATTTGGCAGCATTTTAGATTTCAGATTTACAGATGAGGGATGTCTGGCTTTTTCCTGCCGGGCTCTCAGCAGGGTGCTCTATAAAATCTGGCAGTGGGGACTCTGGAGCCCAGCTTCTCACACATGTACATCCGCCCGCCACTTGGACCACTCAGAAGTGGCTCGGCTGCAGGCTTCAAAGCTCCACGTCTTACTCAGGTTTGACAACCAAGATCTTTGATCTTTGGTCCCCACTGTGCACCCTGCGAAGCACCTCTGGCCCCTCTCCCGTGCATTACCCCACAACCCAGGCATCCTTCAGACCAGCTGGGGCTCCACCAGAGCCAGGCACACTTTGCACCCAGAGGCCTCCTTCTCACAGGGTCCTTGCGAGGCTCCACATATCCTCCCTCTGCCTCCACACTGGCAGTGCAGATTGCCACATTGGGGGAGAAGGTCCAGCCCACCTGCTGGAGAGGAGAGAGACCCCTCAAGGCCAAGCAGACCCCAAACCCCAGCACAGCATCAGCAATGGACACCCACCCCACTGCCTATACACCAAAATCAGACCTCTGTGACAGACACGTTCCATACCCTGGACTCACTGAGGGGCTCAGCCCTGTTCCAGGTCCACACAGCTGCCTGCATTCATCACTGGACAAATGGGTTTTTGCCATTTGACAGAGATAGGTCCTTCCATGCCAAGAAAATGTCCCTAAAATCCCCAAGGGGCAGGTCCCAGACTTCGCTCATTCCAGGCCTCACAGACCATGCCTGCTAATTCCCATCCTCATGTAAGGACAGCCATGGGGTGCAACTCCTGGCAAGCCACAAATCCTAATGGCTCAAATCTCGGGTGTTAGAGTCCGAGGGGAAGGAAAGTGTGCCAGCTGCACAGACCCAGGGAGTCCTCGGCAGCAGGGACAATTGTCCTCAAGGGGAGCACCTAAGACTGCAGTCAGGAACAGGGAAGAAGCCGAGGCCGGCAGCAGTCACTCTGGAGAAAGGACTTTCAGGACAAGCCCTCTGTCTGCTGGGAGGATGCTTACCGACAACATTCACCCACACCCTTGGGCTTGTGGCCACCAGAAGGGGGACACACTGTGACACTGATGAGGCTGGGCTGGGCTGACATCCCCACCCTCCCAAGTTCTCCCCGTGGGCCGAGAGACTCACCTTTCAGGGAGGCCACGTGGGACAGGGCCTGGGCATATGTGGCAGTGTTGAGCAGTGTCCCCGGCAGGCAGGATGGGAAAAATGGCCCTGCAGGCCCCACCGCTCGGCCCAGGCTGGCAAAGAGAGAAGATCTCATTGAGTTCACACTGTGCCCCTGCACCACAGAGGCCCCAGGCTGGTTAGGGGCCTCACCTCTGTGGGGCCTCCAGTGCTTCCTTCTTGCTCCGGGCCTGATCTGTGGGTGGCGGTGAGTTGATGTTCCTCACAGGCGGTGGTGTCACCTCAGCCATGGGTTCCTTAGCCCCGGGCTCCTGGTCTGAGGCCCCTCTCTCTGTTTTCCTCCACTTGGCTCTTCTATTCTGGAACCAAACCTGAATTCCAATGAGAAAAACAGCAAGGGAGGAAGGAAATGAGACAAGAGGCAGAACCAAGCTGTGAAGTGGACATGTGTGTGGCCCCTGTCTGAGCTCCACTCTCCAAACCCAAGCTTCCAGCCTAGAATGGGCTGGATCCACTTGGAAGCTAATAACAGACATTTTTAAATGAATGTCAAATAATAGAATGCATTGCTCACAAGAAGGGTAAAGGCGTCATTTTGTGGAAACTGTAAGCGCTGACTCACACGGCTGCAGTGGTTTGATGCGAGATGTATTTCCTACCGGGAACACTGTCCTGCAAAGCATCACCCAGCACTCTCATCAGAATGGCCAGGCCCCGAGCTCTGTTCTCACCCTGAAATCCTCTGTGTGCACATGAACAAGTTCGTGATGCGTGGCCCGGGTCACCTGCTGAACCCACACCCAGAGTCAGCCAGGGCTTAGGGTTATGAGCTTCAGTGAATCTGGTTTAGAATCCACTGCAACTCTATGAGCTAAGGAGTTCTGCAAGCCTCATTTTACAGACAGAGACATCAAGCACTGACAAGTTAGTTAACTTTGCAGAGGTCATCCAGGTGATCAGTGACAGATTCACAATTTGAAGCCAGTGATTTGGCTTAGACCATGATCCTGGCTGTTCAGGGTGATGCTGGTGGCCCCCAAGCATCACTGGGAAGGTTGGCATGCATGAAAATATTGAGTCAGTGCCTGGCACACAGCAGTTGGCTGAACTTCGTCTGTATCCTCCTCTTCCCCACAAGAGGAGACATGAGTAACCTTGACCTAAGCACCTTCCTAGCGGCTGGGCATTGGGCTATTTAACTCTTCTGCATTTGTAGGAGGAGGAGCTGTCTGGTAGTAGCTGGGCAGACTATGTCTTCACTCTACCCAGGAAAGCCTCTCCTTTCCTCTCCTCTCTCGGAAGGGAATTCCTGGCTTTAAAACAAAACAACAACAACAAAAAAAGGCTTGGCCATGCCTTGCTCCCATCCCTGTGGGCCTCCTGTGCTCCTCCCCGGCTGCTGCAAGCTGACAGCGGGGAGAGAGCCTGGGTCCTCAGGGCTGAGCCCTCTGCCTACCCACCCTATCTCTTAATTTTCATTCTCCTTTAACTGAGCTTCTTTCTTTCTTTTTTAATCAAGTTGGCTTTTAATTGCACTTATCAGCAACCATTGAATAATGATTTTATCTATATTCTAAATTTAGGGCAGTTAAATGCAAAGCAAAATGCAGACACTTTCTTGCGTCTTAATTGAATGAAGGTCACAGCTATAACAACATTTAATTGAGCTATTTTTCATTATCATATTTTAATGACTTTCCACTGACAGTTCGCCTGCTTCTGAGGGAAGAGCATGATGGAGTCGTTTATTTCCCTATTTAGTTATTGTTTGACAACATCAGCTTCGATTAAGACCCTGCTTTATAGAACATTAATCATATTTGAATGAGCAAGGGGTATAAATGTAAACACATCTCCCTTCCCACCACCAAAGCCTGCGTCCCCACACGGAAGCTGGCTAAACCAACGTTTCTCAGCCATTGTCTGCCTGCATAATAGCCAACAACAGCCTGGACAACAATTCCAGGCTTTAATTGTCACCACCCCTATCTTACCCTTGCACCTTTCAGGGAGAAGTTATGATCTTCCACTTCTGAATGCTCAATAATTGTGTCATTTATCTCAATTTGCAGTTCAGTCTTTATGCAGCTATTGGCAAGCTGGCATTAAAAACAGAAACTATAGACGGTATCCTGGCCAAAGAAGATTTTCATTTCCAAATAATAATCAGTTTAATTTGCCCGCATATGACCAATGATTCATGTTCAGATTTAATAATCAGGATCGCATAATCTGATTATAGGGGAAATAATTTGTTTACAACCCCCAATTTACTGCTCAGAATTCCATTATCTCTCTTCAGCCATTGGTTTTTAAGAGATACTAACATGACCCAGGGGAACTGAAAGCAAACTATTATATTTCCTACAATTAGATCTTTGCATAGGCTTAACCCCAAGTCCCTACATAAAAAACAACAGAAACAGCATGGAGGAAACCCCATAAATAAAATGAATATAAAATTGTGCTCAAAGAATAGCTCGCCCAGAGAGGCAGCACCATGGATCTTTCCTCCGGAGCCTGGCACATCTGGTGGGCTCAGTGGGTTTGCGCACTTCAACTTAATCACCATGCAGCTTTGAGAAAGAAGCCCTGCTAAGAATTGGTCAGGCAGGCTGTGTTCATCTCTGCCGAGCCCTTTTGCTGCTGCTGTTTAAAGATTTTTAAATTGCACGTGTTCATCGGATCCACTTGGCTGGCTGAAAGAGCGGGCATGCAGGGGGAAAGTTTGGGCCTGATGCACTTTCTGGAAAGCAATTCCTGCCCTGCTTCCCATCTGAAAACGCGGTTCTCTGCAATTGACCGACCTCACCCCAGAGCGGTCAGATCTGCTTTGAGAATAGCATCTCAGCTTTTTTTTTTTTTTCCAAAGCAAGGAAATGGATGTGCATTGATGTAATTTAGTACCTTAGAGACGCGGACAAATTAGTGTAGAACATTATCACTAGTTAATTATGAATGACCGATTAATCAACCTAATCTAATATTCCACATTATGTTGATGTTATTAAAGTGCATCATGAAAATGACAGATAGTCTTCATTTGCTTTCTTTGGCCAAATGTGCACTCTGCAGTCATGATGTCAAAAAAAAAAGTTTGCCAGTTTTAATATTAGAGAGTTAAATAATTAAAAAGAAGGTTTACCTGCACTCTGGCTTCTGTGAGGTTTATTTTCATAGCCAGCTCTTCCCTGGTGAAGACATCTGGGTAGTGTGTTTGGGCAAAGACGGCCTCCAGAGCTTCCAGCTGGTAAGAGGAAAAATATTTACTGGTTAGCGGCTGCGGTTAGGTGAGGGGAAGGAAGCATAAGCATACTTCCAATATGATCTGAATGGTAAGGAAGCAGTTTCCCAGATTGGATGGAGCAAGAAGATGGAGGAAAGAGCTCTTCAAAAAGATTCCACAGAATTAGATTCTCAACCCTGAAGGACTTAGGAGTTCAGATTAATAACAACCCCAGTGCTCTCCCTGGGAGAAGAAATAAGAAGAGAGGTTTGACTATTTCTATGTGTTTACACTTGAGTGTTTCATAGGGATCAGAAGTCTGAGGTGGCCTTAGTAACAGACAAATGCAGTTTCCACCAAAGGACACAGAGAGTAAGATCACCTGGCCAAGCCCTCCACAGAGGATGTAAGGGTCACCTTCCCAACTGCTCTGGTGATCTCAGGACCCAAACAGAGGCTTATCTCAGGGAAAACTCAGATCCCATAAAGATAACAGTGAGATTCCCCTTATCAGCAGCAATACTATCTGCAAGTCAGTCAACTACATAGGCATGAGGCCTCCCATCTATCTGCTGGGGATAAAAATGGCTGAAAGGTGCAAATGACATTGCTGGTGTGAAAATGTGTCCTGGCCCATCTACCTGAGCCAAATGGGAGGCTTAACCGATGCCTCTTCCCTTGATTCCCTGGGACCGCAAGATCACTCAACCACCATCCACCCAGACAGAGTCCTCCTCACATAAATTGTTCAAGAAAACAGAAAGATCAAGCTAGCAACATTGGTGGGCTTATCTAAAGAGAAGGAGAGTTGTTCAACTCTGCCCTGAAGGAAGCAGAACAAGGCTGGTTCTTGGAAGGGGCTCTGACTTACCTGCTGGAGGGTGAAGGTGGTCCGGTTCCGGCGCTGCTTTCTGCGCAGAAACCCATCATCAAAATCTCCTGTGGAGTGGTTGCCAAAGGGCGCAGTGCCTAGGGGAGCAGTGTAAGGCTGAGCAGAGGGACCCCACTGTCAGCCCACCCAGCCACAGCAGCCAGACCTCGGGGCTCATTTGATGGATGACGAAGCCCTCCCAAACACTCATGCTTTAAGACGCTCTCTTCTCCACTTTCTCCTGCTCTCTCTCTCTCTCTCTCTCTCTCTCTCTCTCTCTCTCTCTCTCCCTCTCTCCAGAATGAAACCTTTGCCTTTAGACCCAGTTGACCCTATGGCACACAGCCATAGCGACCCTCATCTCCAAGACAGCCAAGGCCTGTCCTTGTGGAATTCTCGACTCTGAGCCAGGAAGGGTCTCTGTCTTGAGGCGGTGCTCACATCTGCCCCCAGGCTCATGGCTGTACCTCTGTCCCAGACTACATCTTGATCCTTTATCAAGAGGCTGCATGTCCCCCTTCACTCACCTGTTAGCTTATTCCCGTTTCTGTCACCAGCAGGGGTTAAGGGCTGGGGATAGAGAGGGTGGGGGCACATCCAGAGCCTTTCACAGCTCTATTCTCCTCGAAGTGGTAAGAAGTTTTTAAATGAATATTAATTACTGCCAGTCACAGATCATCAGCACCATAGTGGATCTGTTATATAGATGTCAGCTAACAAAAGCTGGGCACCAATAACAAGCGTCCTGAATGCCAAGCAGACCAGAATAGGGCCACTTCCAAAGGGAAGCCCTCTCTCCAGCCTGGCCACATAAAGTCCCTACTGCTCTCAGACCCTAGAAATGACAGGCTTGGTCCTCCCCGGCAGCCTCCAAAGCTCACAATAAAGCCAGAAAAGAGTTTGGCCCCAAATGTACATTCAGATCATTTTCCAAATGTGCACTATTTACTTGATAGTCCGCAATGGCTTCTTAGGAAAACAATGAGCAAGTTTCCATTAACCAGCTAGCACATTACTTGTCATGGCTCTGTTCTCAGAAGCACACTGTGTTCAGCACCCGCTCTCAGGCTACAGTGTCCAGCCCTGTCCCTCCTGAGGACCTCAGTCCTCAGGGCTTCTCAAAATTCTAGCCACTAAAAGGAATCCCTTTCCATATTATTTACCACCAGGGCCACATCCCTTGCCAAAATGCACACACTCCCCCTGCCAAAACTTTTCTCTTCTGTCTCCCAGTCCAAACTACAGTCCTCCTCAGAACCCTAGCTACAAACATTTTTCTCCAGCTCACTTCAAACTCTAAAGGGATAGCCTTGAAGCAGTCTTATTTCCATTACTTTGCAAAAAGCCAAATTGTCTCCTTTTGAAACTGAGCACTTGCCTGGTGTGGCTGGAATGCCATTTCTGAGATCTCCAGCCACAGTCATGCCCAGTCTTCTGTCTTATACCTATGTGTCCCAAATTGCCTCACATTTCTACATGTAACATCCTGGGCTGTCAATTTGAATACTCATAAAGGCTAACTTCATCACATCAAGAAGAAAAAGGAAATGAAGAAAACATAAGAAGAGACTTTTCACTTAAATAGAATGATTGATAATGTTATGAAAATGTTAAACCTCATTGATACTTGAATTATAGTAAAACAATGAAATACTGTTTTAGTTTTACTATTTTGGCAAAAACATAAAGTACATAATGATGCCCAGTACAAATAAAGTGTGCACCTTCATTTATCATTTATAGGATCAGGACAATTATTTCAGTCTTATTAGAAGATAATTTAGCAATAGTCATGAAAAATTTATGTTCACATTCAGGCATTTATTTTTAAGTATGCCAAAATAGACAGAGAAAAATATTCCTGGAAACATTGCAATAAGAAAAGAAAATGAGAAACAATTAAAGTGCCCATCAGTGGACATTTTCTGCCCTACAAATAATGGAATACTACACAGCTCTCTAAAAGAAATGACCAGACCTGCATATGTTGACATGGAAAAACATTCAGTATATACTGTGAAGCACAGAAGGACTTCAACAATATGATCCCAGTGCAAATGAGTCAGGACAGTAAAGAAAAGAAACATAAATGAGGGTGTCAAAGGTGTTTTTCTAAAGGGATTCTAAGAAACTCACGCCAGAAGGTGTCTTTAGGGAAAGACCAGGAGAAGAGTTTCAATTGTTAATGCATAGGTTTCTCTTCTGTTTGTACTTCTTGGGCAAACATATGTAGTGCTTTTTAATTCATAATATCAGCAAAAGCATCTGGGATGTGAGACTAGGAGCTGTGCTTTGCTTCCTCCCATGTGCTACTCTAGATTAATTTAAAAATTACTATTAAAAAGCTGATAGGCTGTGAGCCAATGTCCTATGCCAAAGGTCTTTCCTCAGCATTTCCACGTGCAGCAGATCCTGCTCCCCTAAAAATCCTAAAACTGCTCCTCCTGTGAGACCAGCATGGAAACATGTCTATGGAATATGGGGGCTCCAAAAGCCCCATGATCATATAGGTAGAATATACCCAGGGTGTAGGCAGCAAAAGTGAGCCATCTGGGGACAGCTGACAGAACCGGGCCAGGACTGTCCCCAAGCCACTTCTGCAACCCACCCTGCAGACAGGGCTCCCTATTGGGGAACCCAGGATGTCCACCACTTGCTAAATGCCCAAGCCTCTGCCTGCCCCAGGTGGGTCAGAAGGGAGAGCGGCTGGGTGGCTCAGATGCAGGTTCAAAAGCACCTAAACCATGTGCGGAATACCTGCCCCGGACACAGGCAAGGGGTCATAACACTGACTGGGCACGGGTCATGGGGGTGACAGAGGTAGAATGCTGCATGCCGTGGCCTCTCTCTATGGAACCATGGCAGACCTGGCAGGGTTACAATGCTCCTCATGAGCTTCGCCTAGAACACTCCGCCGAACTCCTGAGGGCTTAGACAGGAAAACAAAAACAAACTTTGGGAAATCCCAGCACAGGCTGAGCTAGGTGAACAAGCATCCTCTGCTGTCTCTGGCCCCTCAGTGTCTAACTGTGGCCCTGCTCCTGTCTGCCCAATTCTTGACCTCCACACTGTCCCAGGGCAAGAATAAAAGACAGGACTAGGTTGACAAAGGTCATCCTGGTACGGTTCCCAGGGTTTGAAATGCCTGATTCCCAGGGCTGCAGATCCCAGGAGGGTCCTGTTGGAGCCCAGGGTGGGGTTGCATTTTGCCTGGTGGACTCCCTCTTAGGAGACACCCAAAGATACAAGTTGCCCTCACCAGCACATCCCATGCCAAGGCTCCTGCAAGGAAATTTCTTCTAAAGTCTGGGGATCTGCAAAGAGCAGCACCTGGGCCTGGGGAGTGGGGAGTAGGTGGCTTTGGGAATCAAAATCCCAGTGAGTCACTGAAGAGGAGCCCTGCCATGGCACTGGGGCACCTTGTGGGCAGTGGGCTTCAGGGTCACGATGGCCGCAGGGGACTGATACTGCCCAGGAGGACCCTGGAGCACCCATCACAACGCCCAGAGCGCTGGCTCTCCCCACTCCAGGCAGGGCCCAGGAGGGCGGCCAGCTCGCTGGGCTTTTGGGATGTTTGCAAAATGTCCTGAAAGATTGATGCGGGCCCTGGGCGGAGGAGCCCCGATTACAGGCGTGACATCGGCATCTGTGCTGGGACAAGCGGTATCCCTGCCACACGAATAGCCCACGGCCACCCAGCCCGAGCAGGGAGGGAGTGGAGCGGCAGGTGGCGCGGGCTGGGGGATGGAGCCGGGATCAGGGAGGGGGCCAGGGCGCCCTGTGCTGGAGAACAGAGACCACTTCAATGGCAGCCTGGCTGCTGCGACTTGGCCCTCCCAGGCCGGTGGGCCTCATCCGGCAGCAGGGTACGGTGCCTACTCACCCTCTAGCTGTGGCGGGCAGTGGAAATAAAACATCGCCGACGGCGCAGCGGCTGCACGGCCGGACTCGGAGGGTGGCGGCAGGACCCCGGTGCACGTCGCTCCGGCCTGGCTGCAAAGCAAAGGATGACGGGGCCTAAGTCCCCGCCAACGCTGGGGCCGGGCCTGGGAGCGCACTGGGATCTCCCCTCGAGGGAAGGCCCCTCCCGACGGCCTCAGCCCACTTCGGGGGCCGAGGGGAGCTGGCAGCTCTCCCCGTCGCAGGCCTGGACCCTGGGGCAGCCTTTCGGGTAGGTCCGCCTCCCGGAGAGTCTTGCCCGCACTCGGATCCCGCACCAGCCCGCAAGGTCGGGTCCGCGCTCCAAGGGTCCCCG